TTAAAAGGAATCAGACTTTATAGCTTATATCTGCTATACTTAGGAATGAACGCATTCTATCTGAATGCCACTATGTTCATATTACAGATTCCCCAACCTCACTCGTGGCTTCATTTTTGCATTTAATTCAATTCCCAATCTCATTCGGGTCATACAATAACCAAATAAGCACATTAAATATGTGAAAACATGAATAATTTTTTACCCCGACCGGGACTCGAACCTAGGACTTACAATTACTAAGTCAAGGCGCTACCAACTACACACCACAGAAGGTTAAAAGGAATCCAACCTTATAGCTTATATCTGCTATACTTAGGAATGGGTAAAAAATTATTCATGTTTTCACATATGTAATGTGTTTATTTGGTTATTGTATGACCCGAATGAGATTGGGAATTGAATTAAATGCGAAAATGAAGCCACGAGTGAGGTTGGGGAATCTGTAATATGAACATAGTGGCATTCAGATAGAATGCGTTCATTCCTAAGTGTAGCAGATATATGCTATAAGGTTGGATTCCTTTTAACCTTCTGAGGTGTGTAGTTGCTAGCACCTTGACTTAGTAATTGTAAGTCCTAGGTTCGAGTCCCGGTCGGGGTAAAAATTGATTCATGTTTTCACATATGTAATGTGCTTATTTGGTTATTGTATGACCCGAATGATATTGGGAATTGAATCAAATGCAAAAATGAAGCCTAGAGTGAGGTTGGGGAATCTGTAATATGAACATAGTGGCATTCAGATAGAATGCGTTCATTCCTAAGTATAGCAGATATATGCTATAAGGTTGGATTTCTTTTAACCTTCTATGGTGTGTAGTTGCTAGCACCTTGACTTAGTAATTGTAAGCCCTAGCTTCGAGTCCTGGTCTGGGTAAAATATGATTCATGTTTTCACATATGCAATGTGTTTATTTGGTTACTGTATGACCCAAATGAGATTGGGAATTGCATTAAATGAGAAAATGAAGCCATGAGTAAGCTTGAGGAATCTGTAATATGAATATAGTGGCATTCAGATAGAACGCGTTCATTCCTAAGTATAGCAGATATAAGCTATAAGGTTGGATTCCTTTTAACCTTTTGTGGTGTGTAGTTGGTAGCGCCTTGACTTAGTAATTGTAAGTCCTAGGTTCGAGTCCCGGTCGGGGTAAAAAATTATTCATGTTTTCACACACACATATATATATATATATATATATATATATATATATATATATATATATATATATATATATATATATATATATATATATATATATATATATATATATATATATATATATATATATATAAAATTCAAATGCAGGATGATAATTTTCCGGATTTTTTCTCTCATATAATATTTATGAATGAGAAATATATTGATTAATAGCCTGTATTCTTTTCAATTTTTTTAATTAGCTTTTTTTGTGTTAAGTAGTTATTTTTCCCCTCTCATTTTCCTATACTTAAGAAGATTTTTTTTCACTCATTTAATTGTAATGTTTAAAAAAAAAAATTTGCTAATGACCTGTATTTATTTTCTTAATAATTTAGATGCACAATTGTGTATTTTTTTAATGTCATTTTACACATTTTTCTGCAACAAAAATATTTTAGTTTTTGTTTGTACCCTGCGCAAGAAGTTGGTGTTTTTCCCTTTATATTTCTTCTAACCTTCGTACGCTAGGTGAAACTTTGTGACTCGCAATGCCGTGTGGGGTCTGTGAGACCCCAAATTGGAAATGGATATTTTTCATATCAATAAAGTCTAACCAATTTTGTTATTTGCATATGTTATTTTTGCATAAAGCATGAAGTCAACCAACAAATTATATTTACTTTTTACATTTTTTTTAATTTGCTTTAATCCATATCTTATGAATTTTTATCATTCTTATCTATGCATACTTTTCAAAACATGATGTCACAATTATTTTTGAATATATAATTTTGTGAAAAAAAAATTCCAAGTAACACGGATTGCCAGGTGGGGTCTACAGCGACCCCAGTGAAGTTTGTGGCTTTGTAATTCTCAAACTAGACACTTCTAGGTCACAAAACGTTTTGTACCTGCAAAGTAGACAAGGATAAACAAAGTCAGGGAAGGAAGCAATCCTAAGTCAATTATTAGCAAATTGGCAACATTTAATTATTTCTTTGGGGTTATTTTGACCCCTTATGGCATACGAAGTGTTAGTTAGGCTTAAAGCTGTCAATTCTTTTATGAAAGAAGTATTTGCTTTAGATAGGCAATGGCATAATTGCCGAACACTTCAACATTCAATTAAAATTTTCTGAATATGCCTTGAATTTTCGTTTCCTGTTTATGCTTCATATCTCAATATATACATGATTAATGATATCCTTCAGTTTTTACATGCGCTACTAAATATTCCTGTCTATCTTTCATGCATTCCATGCATATTCTGCATGTTCTACTAAATATTTCAATCTATCTTTCATGCATGCCATGCATTTCCTGCATCACTTTTACTGCTGAGCCTATGAATGTGAATCAACTGTCAAGAAAAAGCTAAAGACATCTCAGTTACTTTTCACACTCCATTATTTCTAAAATCTCCAATTCATTGTTTTTGCATCTTATCTGTGAGCAGTTGTAGTCATCCTCTGAATTGTCGGTTCTTTTTTTATTTTGATATATTTTTTTTTTTGATGGGATAGGATAGGAGGAGAAAAAGGGGAGGGGATTAAGGATATAAGGGAATTGGAGGGAAAAACACGAAAATTAAATAAAGTAAGAGATAAGAAAAGAGAGGGGCAGATTCTCGTGCTAAGTTTTGATCTGGAAATCAGATACTTTTTAGTTGTGTTGTCTTGCCAATATGTTGGTCAGGATGTACGCGTATTCCTGAAAAAAAAATTAAGGAAACAACTTATTTTTCTGATTCAAGCTTCGCATCTAAGCTCTCCATTGTCATGGCGTATTTTTTTTTTTTAGGATGGGATAGGATAGGAAGGGAAAAAAAGGGATGGGATTAAGTATATAAGGGAATTGGAGGGGAAAGCATGAAAATTAAATAAAGTAAGAGATAAAAATGAGAGGGGCAGACCCTCGTGCTAAGTTTTGATCTGGAATTCTGGCGTATATTTTTTTTTTCGGATGGAATAGGATAGGAGGGGAAAAAAGGAGGGGATTAAGGATATTAGGGAATTGGAGGGAAAAGCACGAAAATTAAATAAAGTAAGAGAGAAAAAAGAGAGGGGCAGACCCTCGTGCTAAGTTTTGATCTGGAATTCAGATTCTGGAGTTTTGACCGCTAGGCGTATATTTATTTATTTATTTTTTATTAGGATGGGATAGGATAGGAGGGGAAAAAAAGAGGGGATTAAGGATATAAGGGAATTGGAGGGAAAAGCACGAAAATTAAATATAGAAAGAGATAAAAAAGAGAGGGGCAGACCCTCGTGCTAAGTTTTGATCTGGAATTCAGATTCTATAAATTCTTGGCGTATATATATATATATATATATATATATATATATATATATATATATATATATATATATATATATATATATATATATATATATATATATATTTAGGATTGGATTGGATAGGAGGGGAAAAAAGGGGAGGGAATTAAGGATATAAGGAAATTGGAGGGAAAAGCACGAACATTAAATAAAGTAAGAGATAAAGAAAGAGAGGGGCAGACCCTCGTGCAGTGTCTGGCGTATATTATAGGCACTCGGAGCGTCCTATGCAAGTATCTTCAGAAAAAAAGGTATTTACCATTAATGTATGTAATACTTAAGGTGTTTCGAAATTTCTCATGCAAGGGGCATGAGAAATTTAGTAATTGTTTTATAATACTACATTACGTGAAGTTTGGTTTGGTTAGTTATGTTACCTAAGGAGGTCTGAAAGCAAGACCCCAGTTAGTAGAGAGGAGAATGTGGCAAGGCCCACAATTAAAGAAAGAACATGCTATTACCGTTATTGATATGGCTAAATTATTTTAGACTAGATTTGATTAGTTTGAATAATTAAGGAGTCATTGTGTGAAATCCCCCAAAAAGGAAGTAACTGATAATTGAGAGTATGGGTTTCCAGTGGTTTATGTTATATCTTAATGTGCTTATTTTATTCATATCCCTCAGAAATTGCTTGCTTTTTTATATTCCCCTCCTGATATCCCGACTTCCAGAGCTCTCTCCCATTGCGGATGGAGGATGGAATGAGTCGACAACTGAGATTATGTCCAAGTGGTATCTGATGGGCATTTGGCATTTCATATTTTCATTTTCCACAAGAATCGCTGTTTTTTTTTATATTGTCTCCACCAAAATCCTCTATCTCTCGCTCTCTCTCATAATCTCACCCTATCCCTATTATTGATAAAGGAGAAAGGCAAAATATCACAAAAGTAAAAATTCCGTTGAAAATGAGTATCAAAGGTTTTCCCAAAATTGTAAGAAGTCAGCAGATAACCATTGTGTATAGATTTCATCATGATCTCACCACCAACGTTCGTACATGCTCGAACACACGCACAGATTCCTTAACTGCTTCTTCATTATCAAGTTTCATCACTTATCGAATAACTTCTGGAGTTTCTTCAAAGTCATTAAACTTGCATCATTGATCAGTAAAGTGTGATAACGTGAAATTTTTTGAATAATGATTTTCCTGCCAGATTTTTTAAACTGGTCCAAAAATATTTGCTTGGCTCTGGGAATAATTGCTCTCAGAGCAAAATTATCTGTAGCAGACTAAACAATACTACAATTATCTAAAATGCACATTAAATGATTTGTTTCATGAATTAGCAAAAAAAAATAATAATAAACAACAAGTTTTATGAGAACAAACTCATTCAATACTGTCCCAATACTTCTTATAGAAAGAGTATTTCACCAAGTTTTATAATCCATCATCTGAAGTTTTACAAGAGGATAAGCTGGGAGAAAATTAAGATTCATTTATGTAGATTGGTGTATATACTGTAATAACTGTGCATATCCTGTTGGCTATAATTTAGAAATAATAA